TAAGAAAAAAAAATCGATTTCAATCGGCCACATTCAACCAGCACAAAATTCTCATAAAACTTTAAACAAACATTACAACAACAAATACAGGCATTTCAAATTGCGATTCGAGTCACTGCAAAAACACAAACAAGATAGACGAAACATCAAACCTAAAACTCGCAACCACCTTAGTTTGACCAAAGCTCAAAAGTGCAATTACTTTGTTTACTAAAGATCTCTCGTTCATTTGGTTACTCTCCTCATACCTTAAAACAATTAACTTCACAGATCTGATCGGTGTAAAATTAAATAAAGCTTTAATCTGTAAATCAATTTTTGGTTTATGAAATTTTACTCACTTTTACTGACAGCTGATAACACTTAACTGTTTGCGATCAGGCTTAAATGGTGATCTCCATCAAAATTGTCCATGAACAATTACCAGTTATTGAGAATTTATAAAATCATCGAGTGATCAATGTCGACCTTAAAACATTTTTACCCTAAAATGATAATAGGTATCCATTTGAAGATGATACAAAAGAACCCAAAATAGACTTACCAAGCTTCTGCCGATTGTTAGAAAATTGAGAAAGGCTGAAGAGCATCACCGATTGGGCTAAATCCAGTGAGCGACCCTTAATAACAATCATTTAAGCTTACATAATCAACGACGACGTGAATACCCGAGTTTCTGACTCGCTGGGCTGACTCGACGGTCATCTGCCACCGTCAGGAAATCATACCATATTGCTTCTCGAATGAATCCCTCATTTAAATTTCCCCAATTCAGTAATCCACGACCAAGTACCTTTTCCAGATCTTCTCCGCACAACGAAACGCTTCCTCTGACTTCTATGACTGCTTCCCACTATATTTACTAGTAGATGGAACGAATTTAGTCCTTCTTTGACCACTTTAAACCTGCTTTTGCCTGCATTATATCAGCGCAAGTTAAAGGTTCGTGCTAAGGTTGAAACGACAACATGATCTTTCCTGTTTGAAAAACCAAACCTGGATGGGTTGACTCAAGTGCTAGGTCTATCTGTACTATCGACCAAATCATAAATAGCTATAAATAATCTGCCCTGCTACTTCCAAACATCATCTCTACATAAAAAGCATAAAATTTTGACCTGCCATGAATTATATCTGTTGTTAAAATCATTTGGTCACTGATACTGCGTATGAGATTACCTTTGTTTGGTAATCGAGGGTCCAGGGACTGAAGATGCTTTTCCCGACGAACGCGCCACTTTCACGCTGGCTTTGAAAATTCGCGCGAGATTGCATTGTGATACAAATAGTATCTGTCTTTCATCTCAGCTCGTCTTCCATCAGTGACGCAAAGTACACAATTCATGACAGATTAGAGGCTATTAATTGAATCCTAATTAGGTTTTTACAAGGATACTGGAAATTGAAACTTCCCCCCTGTGGTGAGTTTCAAATTCGTATGAATTTCATCATGGAGGATGATCTCGAGGACGTTGACTTCAGTAGCAAGAGAGCAAAGCAGGGTAATTATGACAGTTTTGATAATGATCCTGATTTCTCTGGACAGGTCCAGACAGAAACAGCCGTAAGCCCACTGAAAAGAAAGACCAAGAACTCAAGCTCACCCAAACCGAAAAGACCAACGTCCAAAAAACTCAAAGCACCGAAAACATCCAAAGTTGAGCAAAACCACCTCCAACAAAAAGCAGCCATAAAAGTCCAGCAAATCCAAGCCAAGGAAATGCTATTAGCATCATGCTCCAAAAGAGAAGTCAGTCCAGTGGCCACGCCAGTGAAGGCAGCATTAGAAGACCAGGTTGACCACCAAGACTGGCAAGAGGAGTTAAATCTAACACCTCCTGAAAGTCTGGAAATATCAGACCATGAAGTCAGCCAGGAGAGGAATAACGTAATAGGAAAAAGACAAGATGTTCAAGAGGGAGAAGATATATAAAAACAAATCAGACAACTAAAAGAGAAGCTGGGTACGCAATTTTAATTCTAAAATTAACCTGTAAAAAATAGTTTATAAGACTTATAGCTGCTGTACTCTGATATGCAACTAACTGCAGTGAGGCTCTTCGATGCGAATATTTGATTTCTTTAAAGTAAATTTCTATGGACAAATTGGTGAACTAAAAATTCCAGTGGATGTACAGCTGAAAAGATTATTTGCATAATAATCAGTAAGGCAGCTGAATTGCGTTATTAATACGTAAAATATCGTTTATTATACAATTACAAGAAATATAAATATACCAACTTAAAAGTCTAAAAAAAATTAATATAACTTACTATTAGTATTAGATAGCAAAAGCCAATGCATGATACCATCTGCATTTGGTAATTGTAACAGAAAAACCAGCTTGTTTGCATGATAATGTCAAGAGTCCATCAACAGTTTTATAGCCTGTGTTGTTGGGTAGTTGAACATTGCAAATCCCCCAAAAAGTGATGCATTCAGGTGAGAAAATAAGAAAAACACCACGATCATATATTAATAATTGAAGATATATATAAT